AGGGATAGGTATTAGCATTTTCTTAATACAAAATTAACACTAATACCGAAGCATTAAATTATTTTTTTAACACTAATGCCAAAGCATTAAGTTAATTTTTTCATTCTAATACAAAAGCATTAAAATTAGTATTATTTAATGCAATGCTAATGCTAAGCCACCACCCCTAGTACTCAGGTTTTGAGTACACAATATAGAGATGTATACCATGATGCGCGGAGAAGTATTGTGAATTTTTTAACAACAACACATTAATGCACTATTTTGAGTGACTAAAAGTATTAATTCTCATAAATACATTCCTAAGCACATGAAACCATTTATTCTATTGATTTTGATGCGGCATGTCGTTAGAATCATTTAGCGATATATTGGTGTATATTTTCTACTGAAAATTTCAATATCCTTCGTATTCAAAAATTTTTATACATCTTATTTCTTGTTTCTGTTTTAAATTAGATACTGTGAGTTTTGGTAAATTCAGAATTCTGTAGAAAAGCAGTTATAATCCGCATTTCTCATACGAGGATCCTCAGGCAATTCAATTGAAGTACTCTCAAATCGACACAAATATAATTAGTAATTTACTCAATCATAGCAATGTCTCAGGTGTTCATGGAATCGTGCGACGTTCTAAATCTTACTCTATTTATTTATTGCGTATTTTAAGTATTCATTTTTAGCTAGAAAGGTACATTTTCGAGTATGTATGTACATCTCAGTTTCAGTTTTGAGTGGCATTCATGATAACCGATATCATGAATGCCACTCAAAATGATTGAAAGAATTCTTATATATAAATCTTATAATTTCCTTTACTTTTTTTACATTTCATCATAGATCAACAACACTTATGATTGCTACTACAATTCAAAATCTGTTACATCTGTTGTATGGAAACAAGATAGTTTGGTAACTGGCTTGGTTCTTCTCATCATTGGTTCTACTGGAATGGGAATAGTACTGATACTAACTGCAGTAATATTGATACTTTCATGGCTGCAGTGCTAAGAAAAATAGTAAAGTTGTTTTTTCTGCATAATTTACTTTCATAATTTGTCATTCATACGGACAGTAAAGTTTTTGTGTTCTTCTCATATGTTTTAAAATGTTTGAGTGTGGGTATGGGTGTGAGTGTGTGGGTGTGGGGATGGGTTTGTGGGGATGTGGGTGTGGGTGTGGGTGTGGGCATGGGCGTATGTTTCTTCCTCGTCCACACCCACATTGATAACCCACTCCCATACCCACACCCCATACCTCACACCCACACCCAACCATAAAGATAAAAGACGATGAAAAGAATTTGAACTATGTAAACTCACTGTATCCATAGAAAGTCACTCTTGCTTGCGCGTTCAATCCGAATTCCAAGCAGTACTTGACACTTATACACTACAACATAAACTAAATGTGACGCAAGCCATACAAGAAAATTCTCTTAAGTGACGATTTCAGAAAAGAGCAGCAATGTCAGTCAATTTTTCTTACCCGCATCTACCCTAACAACACTTGCAAGTGTACCTTCATGTGTTCTCATCACAACAAAGCAACAAACTGCATGAAGAGCCAGAGACAATCGAACCACATTCATTTCATTAAACCAACTTCCATAAACAACTAGTACAGTAGCATTAGCTCCACATACGACTAAGACTTACAGAAAATTCCAAGAATACTGCTCCAATAGGTTTTCCAACCATACTCAACTATCAACTTTTATTTCGAAGCACATACAGAGTACGTATGCGTGCAGGACCCAGTGTAGTTGAGTGTGGCTGTGGCTATGGCTGTGGGGTGTGGGGTGTGGAGTGTGGGTGTGGGTGTGAGTGTGGGTGTGGGTGTGAGTTGGGTGTGGGTGGGCGGGTGTTGGTGTGGGATGTGAGTGTGGGTGTGGGGTGTGGGTGTAGATATATTTTCATCACAAACAGCCACGCCCATACCCCACATCCACACCCTTCGTTCACTAGTAGAATGTATTTATGTATATATGTAGAGTGCTAAAGTAAAACACAATGTGACTAATAAGGTAACAAGAAAATCTCAATAATCTCATCGTCTTTATATCCAAGTTTTTCCATGAATTTTGAAATTACATTTAGAGCATGGAGAAAACAAATTATTACCCCATGGTTCAGATCATACGTGGGGGATCGTATGAGTGAAAAATGAACACTTTTGGGCAACGTGATGGGATGAATTATCGCCTCACACCCAAGTGGGACATCACCCCGCGAGCATCTCGGTTTTTCTCGTAGTAGTGAATTTTGGTTTTGTTTTTGATTCAAGATCCATTCATTTGAAACGTATTCATACATATAGTACTCAAACTCTACTATCCGACGGTAAAAAGAAATTTGAATCCATGTCATGTATTTTTGAAATGCCGATCAAAAGAAAAAAGTGGTGCGAGACTTGTGACATTCATTGTATATGTTAACACTGTGAAGAATATTTAATGGAATAAGATAATTAATAATTTAATTTGATTAATAAATATTATATTCAGCAAATGAATTTGATATTTTAATTCGAACACTTCATATAAATGTTCTTGATGCAACATTATATGATTGGTATGATCCAATATAACAACGTCCAACATCTTCACTACCAAGAAAATATCTTTCAATTGATGCTCAATTACCTTATTTTGAAAGAACAGTTTGCTGAATTTTAAATAACGAAAAAAAACACAGAATAATTTATTTTTGTAACTTATAGGTAACAGTAACAGTTAAAAAAGGTACACGTCTTGGTTTAATTATTCGTAGTGGTGCTGAATATGGTCTTGGAATATAAATGTCAAGTGTTGATAAAGGTTCTCTTAGTGATCAATCTGGTCTTTCAATAAGTGATCAAATATTATATCTGTTAATGGAATTGATTTTCGTCATATAAAAACATGCTGATGCTCTCTTCAGTGATTAAGAAATATTGACAAAATGTCATTTCATTTAAGATAAATAAATAAATTACTTAAACCAAAAGATAATATTAAAAAATTAAATTCAAAATTATTAACGAAAACAAGTCCTCAGTTATATTCAATAATAATATATAAAACAAAATTTCAATATGACTTATCATCAACATTTCAAAATAATTTTATTAATTTAAAATAGAAGTTTATTTCAATTAATTATTGATAAAGATGATCAAACTAAAATAAAATATCTTATTAATCAATATCAACTAGATCAAATTCATATTGATCAATTAATTTAATTTTTATTATTTATTTTAAATAAACAATATCAACAATATAGAGTAATGCATTATAAAACACCATTCATTTTAATGACGTTCGATTGTACATATTTTAATCATTTCTCCGTTGCATATCACTTTTTCCTATCGTTCTTCTTAAATTTTGCTTTGATTTATCTTATAATAGAATTTTGATGAAAATAAAAAAGAATTTAATTCATATAATTGATTTCGATGACTAAGCGAAACGACTACTAAAACTACTGTCGCATATGTCAAGGGAGATATGAATAAATGAAACAACAATAGATATACTTTGAAATTCAAATATATATATATATATATATATATATATATATCAATATCACTATTATTCTTACGAATTGTTTCTCAAGTATTTATCTTAGATTATTCATTAAAAAGCACTTTAAAACAATTCGATGTCAAAATTCCTAACCATTTCATTTAATAAATAAATCAAATATAGCGAACTTTAATCCTATGTTATTTTCTTCTTCTATAATATTGACATGACAACAAAAATCAGACTCAATTATGCTTAAATACTTTTTAAAAAACTATCGAATATGACTCGCTTTAAAAGAAAACATCAAATTTGATATAGATCATTCTATGAAAATTCATCCTATAAAACTTCTTACGAGGGAACATTCCCAATTGTCACATCGCTTTTGAGTTGAACGTATGTGCTATGAATCCTGTGAAAAAAAGTTCGTGCCATTAGCTTATTACTGCTGAGATATTGCATTTTTACTAGATATTTCAGCAAAAAGTCATGGTCCCCATCAGAAACACTAGGAAAACTAAATTTCGAGTTTCAACCTGAAACTTTGCACGGAGATCGGCCTCAATGAGAATAGTTTATAGTGAAGGTTTCATGTGTTTTGATTGCTCCTAGTCTGAAATAAGAACATCGGAATCTACTGACGCATATGAGCAATTTTACCATAGTCGTATCTTGAGAGAATGTTTATCATTTGCCCCAAATTGGTTACCACAATCAATCCCCAAATCAAAATCCCCAAATGGGGATTTTGATTTGGGGATTTTTTAAATTAGGGATTTTTTTTTAACATGAATATATCATACATTCTGTAGTTCCATACCATTCTTTTTCTCTTCCAAGACCGTATTACCAAAACTAA